AGAGCATGCACGTGAATGCCTGAAAATAATCTCTTTCTGCTGGTGCTCGTCGTACTCCGCCGTCATGGACTTTCCTCCCCCGGCTCTCTCTCTCTCGCAATCTTTCTCTCGCCGGAATCCCTCCCACGAAGGCATCCATTGATCTATTTTCAACCACCCCCCACGCAAATCTCTGGGCCGCCCACGTCCAAACAACAGCACAGGGGTCTCGTGGAGACAGGATGGCCACACAGAGTCAGCGCAGAATTCTTCAGAACAATTTCGTTTCAATCACTAGACGCTATCCTGTTCCATGCGCGGTGTGACTTGCTTGTTCTTACCGCGAGCGCTATATTGCGTTCACGTGTGACTTTACAGTGGGATGTGATGTGTGGAGAAGGCACCTGAGCGTCTCCTTGTGCCACCTCCTGGACGCCCTTCCCACGTCTGCGTTCGCGGAGTGCTTCCGCACGTAGGCAGGATGCCTGCGTCACCCACTTGTTTCGAGTCAGACAGAGAGAGAGTGAGGAACGGCGAGTTCCCATTGCTCCGGAAGACGTCACGCACCACGGATATCTCTGTCCGGAGGAACTCAGGTGACGGATCCCGTCTGCCCCCATGCCGGCCATGTGACAGATTATATACAGCACACCTCGGCAACAGACTGTTTTTTTACTAGAATAATATGAAAGGGAAAAATGTTATGCTCAAATCTGAACAGATTTGACGATGATGAACTAATTTTGCCCACAAATTTCCATATCAATAATAAATATATAGGTCAAATTTGAAAAAGCTTGTACAGTATGCATGTACTATTTTGAGAAAAATGGAAAACTAACAAGTCTATTATTGTAGCTTTCATGGGACACAAACAATCGTTAAAAAAGCCCCCCACCTCCCCCAACATAATAAAGCTCGGATTTGTCTTTACTAAGAACTAGTAATACTGCAGTTTGTCTGAGTCAGAAGATAACTCTATGTTATTACAGATCTTTAAAATGTTTTATTTATCTTTTAACATTTTATAAAATTGAAAATGATCCCTAAAATATGTTCCGGTACACCAGAGCGTGGCTACAGGTAGCAGGCAAAGTGCCGTGTAACCGTAATATACAGGTACGTGATGTAGCATAGTCTCTCAAATCTCTGCTGATTCCCGACAGCAGGCCCTCTGCTGTCCATCCCGTTATCCATGCTGTGTAAAGCCTGTTACTCAATAATCAATAATCATGAATCATTTTAAATTTGATAAAACAATCTCATCGTCTTTTATCCACTCATCTTCTGTAACTATTATCCAGAGCAAAGTGGGGAAGCCTGGGTATACCACAGGGGATACCCATATAGACAGGAGGTCTAGGACACCAAGGGGCAGTCCATTTCCAAGGTGAAGGCTCCTGTGGGATTCCTCGTCTGTGTAAATTCAGATCATAGAAACTGCGATTTTCCCAAGATGCTAAAGATGAGTTTAATCATGACGCAGGGAATTAATTTTCCTGAAAACTCAATTACATCTGGTAATAGGACATTTCAGAAACTGTTGACCACAAAAATTACATGCTAAATTAACCACAAGAATGCACATCAGTCATGGTCTAAGCCTGCTCAGTTACCCAGCACTGAAGCTGCAGTGTATGTGTGTGTGTGGATTATGTTTTTATTACACTGTGGGGACAACATGTTTCCCACAACGTAATAAAAGCCTGTTATTTTCATATTGTGGGGACCATTTTTCAAGTCCTCACAAAGATCTGTGAATGCAATGAAAAAAGTAAAAATGCCAAAACTCTTGAATTTTGTTTGGTTACCTATGGTTAAGGTTGGGGCTGGGTAGGGGTTAAGGTTGTCATTGATGGGATTAGAGTTTTCCCCATAGAGATGAATGGAGAGTCCACACAAAGATATAATTACAAACCTATGTGTGTGTGTGTGTGTATGTGTGTGTTTGTGTGTGTATTGACACTTGGGACCACAAGATTCAGAGACCACCTGCAGGATCCCAGAATTCAACTGAACACCAAATCTATCAAAGCATCCTGGGGAGGCTGGATTCTGCACCAAATCCTGCTACAGTTAATGCTCTGACACAATATTCCCCAAGTTCTGCCTCCAATGAATCTGTTGCACATGTAAAGTGTTATTTATTGGAATTTATTATTGGCTGCTGCACATCACGTTTTGTTGTCTTGTATTTATTCTGCAGGATATTGGTCTACAGGAAGTGTTCATGCACTATGAACACATGTCATTAGAATTAAAAATGCCTTAGCCTGGACCGAATGTCTCCCCTGCTCGTAACAAGGGATCCCAACCATCCCAGTCGCAAACACTTCCTGCACGTTTTGTTTGGTTTGACTGTATTCCTGGGCTTAAATGATTACATTGTGTACTAATTTGATTCCATGCCATAGAACAACAGAGGGAGCCAGCTTACAGGGCATTTAACCCAGGAGTTTGTCAGCAGAATCATTCATTAAGGACTTATTTTTGGAACATTCTGCTCAGCCCTCTGGTCTTTTTGCTGCCACCTCACCAGTATGGTCAGACCCCATTCCAAAGCCAATCAGATTTTACGACATTGCTGACTAACCCCCTGGGTTCCACCAATCACTGGACAGCTCGTGCCAAAAAGGACTGCAACTGCAGCCTCTGCCCTTGGTTTGGTTGATCACCATCCCACCAGGATCCTAAGTCTCAAGGGATGGTAAAGGATGTTGTTGTTGTAGCAGTTCATTATGAGCAAGAAGACTGGAACCTGATACATTATAGGATTAGAACCTTACAAGTTGTAGGACTCGAAACTTAATCATAGTAGGATTGGAATTTGATACGTCACAGAATTAGAACATTGTGCGTCGTGGTGTTGAACCTGACAGGCTGCAGAATTGGAACATTACTCCTTTTGGGTCTGAACCTGATGTGTAAGATTGGAGTCCGACATGTTGTAGGATCGGAATCTGACACAGGTTGCTTCTTAATCTGTCCCCACGTCAGCTGAAAAGAAGAGCTGGTCAATGCAAACATGATTCTTCCAGTCCATTGCAAGACCTGAAACTATGAACCAGGAAATCAAACAGACAGACACACACAGGGATACACCAAAAAAACAGAAACACTCAGAAGGCGTGGAGTGCAGCCTTTTGGACACTAAAATGTTTTCAGCTCCTTAACAAAAACATCTTCAAGCAAAATGGAGGCAAGATGGGGACAGATTCAAATAGCATATGCGTAAATAAAAAAATGAACAACGGCAGAGGTTCCAGCTGGTTGTCTGTCGGCCAAAGCGAAAAAATGAGTCATTCCAGGGTTTGGGCTGCAGGAAGTCAAGCTAGCGAAAGCAAGGATCTCCAGGCTGCTCGGTCACCTGGAAAACGAAGGACTGCAACACGGGCGGGAGGGGGAGGGAATGCAGGCGGCTGGGGAGGGGTGATGTGGGCTGCTCAACACGGCACAGATAGCAGACACACACGGATATCACCAGGGGCTGACAGCTAGCCAGGAGTTTACCCACAGTCAGTGTAAAAACACACTGTGCCTGTGAGGACTGCGTAAGAAAGTGAAAGCTATGACACACAGGAACTTATACCTCATTTAATTTGCGTATATATGTGGCTCAGCAGGTTAGGTGCCCAGAGCTGGCAGAGGGATATTACCGCTGGGCCCTTGAGCAGGGCCCTCAAACCCCAACTGCTCCAGGGACTGTCTGACCCAGCTCTCTCAAACGTACGTCGCTTTACATGAAAGCGTCTGCTAAGTAAAGATAATTATTCATTTAACGTTTTTAATTCATGCAAGACACTTTCTTATGGATGGCTAACACCCCTGGCATCAATTGTGGGAAAACAGGACACACACGCACACACACAAATACATAGACACACACAGATACACACACACATAGACAGACGGATGACTGACTGAGAGGGGACCCTTGAGACAAGCTGCCATGATGTGGCGATGCCAGGATTGGCCTTGTTTTCCTTGGTTTTTTGAGAGCCCACCACAGGCACAAGCCCAGAGACCAGCTGCCCTGAAGTTCACCATGGCCTGGACAGAGCTCAACGTAGACTGACCAGTATCTCCATTCAGACCATAGCCATGGAGGTGTGATGATGCACTACGTCAAATGAGACCCCATTCAAGATGGTGACCGAGAGACAGGCATCAGGGAAAATGGGGAGCAGGACCTCCTTTCCTGAATACAAAGCACCACAACCTCTTTTATCTCTTCCACACTCTCCAAGAAAACCTCATAAGTCTGATTCAGAGGCCAATTTCAATTCAGCTCTGTTTCTGGGTCATAGAGACATTGCTCTCCGCTGGGGAAAGAACTCCACTGGTAACGTCAGACTTTGGTCAAATGTAGCAACAGTCCTCTTAACGCCCACCCAGTCCCACCACCATGAGAGAAAAAGCAGAAAACTTCAGACATGCCCTTCAAGCATGCATGTCTGTACCATAAAATGCCTAGAGATTCTCCTTGGTTCCAGGAGGTTCTAAAGACATTAATAGAGTTATCAAAAAATCCAGCTAATGGATCCTTCCAGATTAGAATACACAGAACAGAGAATGCACCCACTCTAAGAAGCAAGTACTAAAAGCTGCTAAGCAGGTCCTAATGAACCTGTCAAACAGCTTAGTATGGGAATGAGAATGAACACATTGCTAGAGAATTGCTACGATAGGTGTACAAATGGATGCTACAAATGGACCCTGGCAGCATTATAGAGAGCCATGGGGTCCTTCCTGCCTTCTGGGACATCAGAGCGGCACCCTTTACATGTGCTTCCTGAACCTGCTGGGTCTTTTACTCACATACATGACCAGGTAGGAAGCTAACATGTACACGTGAGCATGTGGGATTTGGGTACAGGAAGCTGCCACTATCCCCTTCCCCCACCCAGGACTCTATCCTTAACCCATTAAGAGGGGGGGGAGGTGTTGGGGCGCAGGGGGTTGCAAGGGGGGAGTGGCTGGGGAGGGAGAAGAGTGGCACTGCAACCGGACCTGCAACTCACCAAGATCCTTAGAGCCGTGACTCTCGCTGGCCAGCTCGCCCATCCTCACCAGAGCGTCGAAGTAGCCCTTGGCTGCAAATGTGACACCTGGAAACACGGAAGCATTTGCTGTCAGAAGGGAGGCGCCGTCGATGAGAGCGTGTGGAGGGCTCCGAAGTGGTGCTTAATCGGGCTACAGAGTGTCACCGACGACAGGAGTACGGATGTCCTGGGGGGCCTACACACTCTCCAGATCTTCCTATAGAAATGGCTGTCCTCAAAATGGGTAGCTGTGCTTGGCTAAATCAGAGAGGAACTACTGAATAAGCACCAGATTCAGAATGGCCCCCCAGGGCCACCCACAACTTAAATATGTATAATAATGATAATAATAATATTAATAATAATAATAATAATAATGATAAAGCATGAATCCCAGCTGCCATTCCACAGCTTCACTCACACTAATCGAGATTTAACTGACCTAAATCATATCACCTAATGCCCCATAAATCAAATCCACCAAAGTGAATGAGCGGGGCAGTAAGTCGTCCTACCAAACGGAAGCAGTTACAGACACTCTCTGGCTTAGTGCTTGATTTCAACTGTTATGACTACATCATTTTGGAAAATTAATTTGCCTAAAGCTGGTTGGGTTGCTGGTTGCATTCAGAGCAAGACACATAATGAAACTGGCATTACTAATGGGGGTGTAGAGAACCAATACCTGCTTTGTCTCCCTGTTGGGAACAGCTAAAGCAGGTAGCAAGTTAGTGACTAATCTGAATCCACACCTCCACACAACTAGCCACCCACAGACAAGCATGAGTTGCTTGGAGCAAGAGAATGCTACAAGGCTATTAGGTAGAAGTGGTGGTGGGTGGGACCTGCACTAAATCCAGCTGTTCATACACTGAATTGGATCAAATCCTCACCTGGCTGTGAAGTCCTGAGAACACCTTTACACAATCCTTGGCAATCGTCATGGAGATCTGATGCAAGGTCAGTTCTATGTCCAAATTGACTGTCTTTGAAGCCTTTCCAATACAAGTGCGGGTTTCCTTTAGCAGTGTGCTAATGAAAGGTTGTTGATAGTTTACACAAGTACCCTTTCACATAAACCCTGCTGAAACAGACCAAAATAGCCAGCTCCATAGAACCACAGATCTTCCATTCTAGCCCCTGAAGGTAGAGCCCAGTTCCGCAGCCCAGAATCCAGACCACTCCCCTAGTGCACCCTACCAAAATTTTTCTCACTGCAATACGATGATGAGCACCATACATGGGAACTGCTGTTTATGAGCAGCTGGTGGATGCAGGTTTGGGTTGTACCTGTGAGTCTTTAACTTCAACAGCTTCAGTAGAGACATATCAAAACACCCCCAGGTGTTTAAATGAGCAAAAACTGGAAGGATCTTTCAAGGGAAGCACATTCCCAGGTTTCACATCCTGTGGGTGGACACGGTTTCTCTTTTCAGGCTTGAGGCTGATTTAACCGGTGTGCCGCTCATTGGTTGTGCTGGTGATCAGAAAAATGCAGGTTCAGATCTCATGGTTGGCAGAATTTCAGTGTTGGGCTCTTGAGCACGGCCCATAAACACTATTTGCTCCAGAAACTGGCTGACCCTTTTTCCTCAGATGTTTGTTGCTTTGGATAAAAGTGTCTGTTAAAATAATGTATGTTTGAAGCTACATTAGGACATACCATTTGAACATTCTTTGCCTAGAAACTGGGCTTCACCTGCTTGAGGCCGGGGGCCAGGCATGGATCCGCAAAGTGACACAGGTGAACACAGTAGCATGAACCATCATCGCCATTTGGCAATGTGACCTGCTTGTGCTACAGGGGTCGATGACAGTGGTGACTCTCGAGGTCTTTGGTGAAGATCACATCTGCTAGCGTACTCAACTAATGACCGATTAAGCAGAAGTATCACAAAAACAGGGGTAGCACTCAGCTATCTGCCCTCATTCTTTAACAGATGCATTTGCGCACAGTGACGTTAACCGTTTCTCTCTGACCCCCTTTTTGTCCCACTTGGTCTGAGCCTTTCCACTCCATGCCACCACTCTGTACAGCTGAATACTAGAGATTCACTGAAGCCATATGAGTCCATACAACAACTCACAGGCTCCTCATCTCCTCAGCAGTAAAAAGAGGATTTTACATCTAACAGATCTGCCAGTGTTAGATCATAAGAGGCAGTGCAGACAAAACCTTAAGCTTGAGTCTCCCCCCCCCCCCCCCCAGTTAGCAAAGGATGGGATTTATAGCAGCTGGCACTTCAGAGTCTTCCAACGCCGGTTTCTTCCACAGACGATTCAAACAGTATTAAACACCTTTACTGCATAACTGAATTACAGACAGCCTTGCTCTCACTTCTTGAGATGGTTTAGGTTAAAAATAGACTGTGACTCCACAGTAACTGCTCGATGTCCTCAGGGGACCAACTCTGTCCCGCTTTCTTCCTTGCATGCAGTCGGACACAGAAAGTAGGTGCTGAAATATTAATTAGCCCACACTTAGAATCTCCACACCGACACTCTCCCTCATTACCATGGGTTTACAGAAGACCTCATTCTACTAGGCAGGATAACTATGCACCTCCCAGAAACCCCCATTTTATCGAACTCCTGCTGTATTGAAAATAATCACCATTAGTGCAAGGTAGCCACAGAATCCGTGTCCAGCCATTCTCTCGCCACTCCCTTATTCACTGGCTGCTTGTCACATGACTGATGGGCCACGAAAGGAAGACATGGACTCGCGCGAGAGGATGAGAGCAGTATATTACAAACATTACTTTTTGGAATCAGATTTTTGTGAGTTCCTTGACTCACTTGGCACACCGGATGAAATTCAGGATGTGATTCCAGCAAGAACGCAGCAACTCTCCATATTCCCCCTATGGAGACTCCACCCCCTTTCATACTGTCCCGCCCATCTCCTAGATTCCCCTACCAGCCAAGCCCTGATTTGGTATATTCCCAGATCCTCTTCATGGTCCCCTCTCCCAACATGAAAATCGGCGCAAGGCTGCGACCGGCCAACAGTCCGACATGCAGATGGTATGATGGGATGTCTGGGGGATGATTGGAGGAATATGGTTGAAGTTGGGGGGGGGACGTTACATTTTTTTCTCAGCAGGGTTTCAAACCCTGCCAGAGGAAGCCAGTATCCCCATCTAGTACTCAACAAGCCTGAAAACCTCTAAAGGTTCAAAAGACAGCCAGGAAAACAGGCTCAGTCTTCTCTTAAATGACATTAACAACATAACACTGTGATCACATATACAATTGCAGTATTCATATCATTATATACATTATAGAGTAACATCTATTGACATGTCATTATTAGATACATAAAAGTCACACCCTGTAATTATATCAGAACGAAGCACCGTATGAGGAAGCTGGCTGCCTCTTTGATAGGACAGGCAATAACTTCAGATGATTATTGGCCCATATCGCTCTCTCGGGTTCCAGAGAGTGCACCGATAGCCGGCCCGTACTTACTCGAGAGCGCTTTCTCATACGTCTTCCCCATAGCGACGAAGTTCCGCAGGCACGGGTTGAACTGCTCCATGATGGACTGCAAGAGAGAAGGCAGGACGCGCAGGTCAGTGGCGGTGGGTGGGGTTGCCGGCACAAATGCAAAATCCATGAGGATTTGTTCAAATCTGAAGCGGGAAATCCCGCCTGCCAAAGACAGCAGAGACTCGGGTCAGGTATGTAAGGGGAGGCACAAAGCCACACCTCTTCTGCCAGTCTCCTCCAGGCTCCACCCCCAACCCACCCCACCCTCCAGCCAAGAAAGAGACATGCAAACAAACACACACACACACACACTAAAAACTGCAAGGGCTGAGACAGAGAGTCACAACCACACATATTAAACAAGAACACACAGATAAAGACACACACACTTCACCTCTCCAAAATGCTCCTCGGAGCTCAGAAGCGGCCCTTGCTCTCCCGCCATTGATGGAAAATGAGGTGCGGTGTGAGCTTTAAGTGCTTTTGTAGGGCCGGGTGCGGCGGGAGGGAATAGCGATGCGGGGGGTGTGGTGATTGGGCTGCTGGGAGATGGGACTCTGAGGCACTGTGTTCGGTTGGCTGGGAAAGCCTGGAGGAGGGGGACTGAGTGTATGTGAGAGAGGCTGAGAGTGTGTGTGCAAGAAAGAGAGAATCATGGGATATGTGAGCATGTGTGTGTGTGTGTGTGGGTAATAAATAGCTATAGTGCATATATGTATAAAAATGCAGGGAGTGTGTGTATCTGTGTAAGAAATACAGGAACAGAGAATGCCTGTGTGCATTTCCAAGTATGTGACTGTGTGTGTATAACAGATAGACATGGTGTGTGTGAGAAAAAGAGATTGAGTGTATGGTATGTAAAAATAAATCGACACTGTGCAATGGAGACCACTGAGGACTATTTAGGTCAGCACAAAAGCAGCACTGAAATCCGCTGAGGCAACCAAAATGACGTCCTGCTCCAGATACAGCATGAGGAGCATGAGGAACGCTGAGCTAGATACCACCTGTCCTCCTCTCAGCACCAGCAGACCCTTTAAGAAGGTGAACTAGTTACTGAACATATTCTATCGAACACCTACAGGCCCTTTAAGAAGCTGAGCTAGATACAGAACATGTCCTACGAAACACCTGCAGACACTTTAAGAACCTGAACCAGACACCAAAGATCTTCTACCAAACATCTGCAGAACATTTAAGAAGGGGAACTAGATACCAAACATCTTCTACCAAATACCAGGACACCCTTTAGAAAGATGAACCAGATAGCAAACATCTCCTACCAAACGTCTTCCTATCCTTTAACAAGGTGAACTAGATAATGAAAATCTTCTAACAAACATCTCCCTACCCTTTATAAAGGTAAACTATATAGGAAACATATTTTAGCAAACATCTACCGACCTTTTAAGAAGGTGAACTAGATACCAGGGCAATACCACCATTGTGGATGCAACATTTAGTCATATTCGCAAAAAAAAAAAAAAAAAACCTCAGGGACAAGCTTTGATTCAATGAATTAATTTGCATGTCTTTTCATGAAACCAACTGGACTGAATATAGATAAATCCTCAAAATTCATATATTACTTAGTTGTTAGAAATACATTGTATTTTATCAGTGTTATGGATGGTGACATCAAACGGACAGACTTTTATGGGAGACTACACATTTTCTACAAACTCTGTTCATTTTAAAGAGTTGCGGAAAGCACTGTACGTGTAGCATAAGACACGTGAATGAACACGAGAGTAAAGGGATGTTTCTCAATACCAAGGATGCAAAGATCATACTTGTGGTCTTGGCAAGAACGGTCTTGCGAACTTGCTTTCCAAGAACGAACTTGGGGCGCAATAAATGATGGGGTGAATCTCAATATGAATCTCAGTACTTCACAGTGCGCATATACCCGTGTACTCGTTTTACGTAATTTTGCCAGTAGCCTACACAAAATGGACAAAACAGGTATTATTTATTGTAAATAAAGATAAACAAATCATTAGTTTAGCTATAGGCCTAAATAGTATTTAAAACTGCAAATGAAAATATTTTATTTCAGTAAGTTTCGGAAGCAGTAATTACAGATTTCATCTAGTCCTTTATTTTCGTATCTTATTTTATTTATGTGTACGAAAATGTTTGTCTTATAGTTCCGTTAATGATAATAGTCATGACGAGACTCATTTCGTTCTACTTAAGAAAATTGTTTTCCTAATGATAAGTTGTTTTATATTTTATCTTACCGTTTTTACATTTTTGTGTTATCAGGCGACTTCAGCTTTGAACGTTAGCCAGCGCGAGCGAAGGTGTGCGCGCCCGTTTCCGCGCCTAATCTGTTTCCTCGTGCGTCTCTATTAAGAAATTAGAAGTGTTATTGTTAACATATCGCGATTTCTATGTTGCCACGGTATCAGTCTTTTCTTCGCATTTTTCTCGTTGTTGTTTGAAAATATGTGAATCGCAGGTGATGTGTTAATATGTTGTTTTGATTTGTTTCGCTAGCTTTTACTCGGTATTTGTAATAAGTATGTCATTGTCCGTTGTATAGATTGTCCGTTTTCGGCCATGCATCAGGGTAAAATCCGATAAAATGGCCCACAAGTTTTGCTGATTTATTTTATACTGTAAAAATGTGAAAGCATTCACATAATTGCAGTTGTTAAAAGAAATTAAGGGACACGATTTGTACACCATATCGAAGTTAGTTAGCTTCATACAGAACGTTTGGACACCGTTGTATGTATACTGTTTGTACAACATAAACGTCCTCTAAAGCCAGCTGGAAGTGACTTAGCTGTAGAAATATGCACATTGCTCTGTCATTCCCTTGTCATTTTTAGAAAATGTCAAATGATGACCTTTTGTAAGTCTTTTTAACCCTTTCTTGAAACAGCATGACTAGGGTGGGTGGTTGGGGGGCATGGAAGGGCTTAGCTCACCCCGAGATGATTTCAAGCCCTCCCCCCACCACCTGCACCTGGCCTGTCAGATTGAAAATTTGCAAAAAAATAAATAAATGTGTAAATATTGTATTCATCGTTAAATAAATAAGCTGAACTGAGATAAATTCCTTCCATGCTGATATTAAAAGTAGTTTAATACAGAATTGTAAATGAAACAGGCATGACTGTTAACTTGGAGCTGAGCAGAGACTTGGTTTTCTCACTAACTAGCATACAGTTGTGGGCGACAGAGTGAATCTGGATAAATGTGGCAAAATGGACCTTAGAAAATATTTTAAGCAACAGAGATTCCACAGCTAAGCCATCCGCATCACCAGTCACCAAGTCTACCAGACGTCAACTCTTTGGACAGGTCAGTCGAGTTTGGTTTCTCAGCTTGCTTAAGATTAGCACATTTGCCTTAAACTTAAAATTTTGTTTTTTTTAGCAGCTGCTGAGTTGTATTATATGCACATGGTCTTCTTACTTGTGCAAACTAAGGTTACGATGTTCATGTTTCATGTTGCTTGTGCTGCCCCTGGTTCTGACGTGTCAGTTTGTCATTTGCTTCACCAATCAGTTTCTGTCAGCTGTGGTTTTAACATTGTTATAGCATCATTACTCTTGGTAAGTTAAACTGTGCCCCCCAGGTATGCTGCATAGCACATCGGGCAAAATGGGTCTGGCATCTGCTTATAAAGTATATTTGGACATCGTGTAAAAATTGTACAACTGTACTAAATTTGTGATTGTGTGGAGGATGGGAGGGTGAGTCTGGTTCCTCCCAAGGTTTCTTCCTTCTAGGGAATTTTTCCTTGCCACTGTCACCTCTGGCTTGCTCACTGGGGGCTTTGGGCAGGAATAATGTAAAGCGCTTTGAGACAATGTAATGTTGTGAAAATGCGCTATTCAAATAAAATTGAATTGAAATTCAATATATGATACAAAAGGGTGCAGTTTTCTATAAAATACAATCAGAGCAGTTATATAAAGTAAAATATAGACATAAGTGAACATTTAAAAAATAAGTCTGTTCCTGTGCTCGCTATTTTATTTTTCCATGATAAAGTTGACCTTACCAAGCATCTCTACCAAACACCTACATACCCTTTAAGATGTTTGGTATCTAGTTCAGCATCTCTACCAAACACCATTCTCTAAAAAGCTTAACCAGATACCAAAAACCTGCAGATGATTTAAAAGGATGTAACTAGATAGCAGACAACTCTACCAAACACCTACAGACCCTTTCAAGCTCACGTTGAATAATAATCTGCACTCCCCCATGCTTTCTTCCAGTGAGCTTTCTCTAATTAACACTGCCTGCAGGTGCCTTGGTAATTCGCCCACAGCCAGTGGGCAACAGCACCAGCAGGAAACAGGACACCATCCCACCTGCACCACACAACCTGGAGCTTTCGTTAGGATAAACCGTCGTGAAGGTCACTCTCGTTCATTTACTAAGTAGCTGATGTATGCAAAGTGACTCTGTATTTAACAAGTATCCACTCTGCACATTTTTACAGGTTTTCAACCAGGAACGTTCTGGTAAGAAGTGTAGTCCCTTCCAACCTTGCACTGCCCTTAGATGAAGGCCAATGAGAGGCCTGGCTCGCTGCCTACCAATGCCTGGTCTGGCCCAGCTGTTTGGTCTCTAAAGGTGACAAGTGTGTTTTACTGGTCTAAGCCATGCAGTGAAACAAAGAAACCAGGTAAATTTCCTAAACGCTGATTGGCCGACACAGTGGGTAGCCTTTTCTGCTGTCTCTTAAGACCTGTGGCCACTAACGAAAGCGGGACATTTTGGGACTTTTTGGGTACAGAGGGTTGTAGGAGGAAGTAGAAAAAATGGCCAGGATGAAATGCAGGAGAAAAGGCAAGAGAAAAGATTTGCCAAAAAGATTGTTCCTGTGCAGGGGTCTCTGTGCAGCTTGGAAAGGTGTGGAATTTGGTTCTAGTATTTTGCAAGTCTGGATAATTATGAAAGATGAAAGGAAGTATGGAAACATTTTGTTATTTCCAGACCATTGCAACAAATTGGTGTACTATGTATTCTAAAAAAAATCTACATTTACTTGTACTTTTTGATGAGATCACAGATGTGAGCTGGTTGTCAGCACCAGAATATGCATAGAGGAGTACAGGTGTGTCTTTGGGGTGTGTGCTTGGTTAATCCCCAGTAAGAAATATTGATGTAGGCTTCCTTGCAATTTACATCTCTCACAATGGGGAAGTGCAAGTTTTCACTTGCTTGGCTTGCCATTCCCAAATATTGTGATTGGTTGGCTTAGGATCCCAGATGTGAACGGAACGCATAATGCAAAGTATGCGTAAAGTTCTTCAACGTTTCAAAAATGGACGAGTTGTTGGCCAGAAGTATTGCTATCCAGTCACAGCCAACGGCAGACCCTAGCAAGAGCAAGAAGAACAGGTACTGTAAAAGGCATCATCTGAGCGGGAGGGGGGGCTGACTTAGCAAACTGCCAGTGGCAACAGAACCCCTGTCTCCCCTCACTCTGACAACTGTCACCTTCATCACCACCACCCTCCCGTACAGTCCGTAAAAGTATGGTATTTTAAATTGGAAAGTGTATAGCAACTTTGTAAAGGTAGAGTAGTAGAGTTCAGAGTGAAAAAGTATTAAAAGGTGTGACAGAGGCTTTAAAGAAATTGCTTGCATGCCACACTGGAAGTCATTGACCTAGATCAGATAATTATAAATGCCCTCGTTTGAGACCTTTTGTGTTTCCTGCAAGCGGGTGACAGTGATAACCCTCACAGCACTTGAACCTACAACCTTCTGGTCACAATCTAATCTAGGAGAATGACCTGCCTTGAGGTCACACACACGGACGCATGGCTTCTCTCCATCCACCCTGGTCTTATTTTTTTCTCTTCATATACTCTCTCCCTATACTGCACTCTCTTAATGTATACACTAAGGTACACCAGCTTACAAACGTATACCTAGAAATTCTGGGCCCTTGATAAAATGTCACCTTGGGCCCTCCTGCCCAATTTTATGTATAATTTTACGTAAAGACCCCTGTGCTAGGCCCCCTGAATCTGCCTGATACTCGGTACACACCCACCCCTGATGCTTCGACCTACTCGTTACCGGAAACATTCTGCTTCTCCAAGCAGTGAATCATGTGGCGGAAACTGAATACATACAGCACACAGATTGGGTCAAGAGGTTTACTTACTGCTCAACTAAGCATTTCAACAGCTAAGACGTGTGAACTAAGTCATTTCGAACATGGTGTGATTGCTGGTGCCAGACGTTGTGATTCCGGTATGTCAGAAACAGCCACCTTCCGGGGATTTTCACACGCTACAGTGTCTGCAGTTTACAAAGAATGGTGTGATGATCAAAAAACATCCAGTCAGTGGCAGTTATGTTGCCAAAAAACACCTGATAATGAGAGAGGTCAGAGGAAAACGGGCAGAACCATTAACAGGAAGTCCACAAGTGCAAAAATAACAGCACAGTGCACCGCAGTGTGCACAAAGACATCTCTGAACACACCATTTATCATGCTTTGAAGTGGTTCTGGTGACATAGGACCCCCTTTGTCCCCGATGTTTTGTCTTAATTCTTTCAAAAGTCAAGTCTTGGGTAAACTTGACTTAGCCCCTGATATAAAATTTTAAAGTATTGTAGTTTTACTGTAGTTTGTCAGTGTGTTCTCTTCTGATACTCTGTATACTCTCTCAGTATACTCTTTCCTGATACTCTGTATATTCTGTCAATGTGCTTTCTCCAGATGCTCTGCATACCGTCAGTGTGTTCTCTTCTGATACTCTACATACTCTGTCAGTGTGCTTTTTCCTAATACTCTATATATTCTGTCTGTGCTCTCTCCTGATACTCTGTCAGCGTGCTCTCTCTTGGTACTCATCAGCAAAGCAATCAGCTCAGGGGCTTCTGTTGACAATGGCAGTAATCATCCTGACAACAACCAGTCAGGGGGGAAACGGAAAGGGGTAGAACTGAATAAATAATTAACAGCGGCGTTCCGTTTGCACACACTCAGTAAAGAGCTGACAGGGCCTTTTCTGGGGTTGCTGTGTGGGCCGTGTGGAGTGTTCAGTCATGCTGAACAGGACAGTCCTCATTTTGCGCATTCATTTGGGAGGAGGACTGATGATGAAAGGTTGGGAGACACATTAGGCCACCGCGGGCCCCCACTGTGAATCGCCAAGCTACAAACTACATTATTGTTTCATTGGCTCCTCAATATATGTTTTGTAGCTGCTGCTCCGATACTCCTTACACTATACCTGGGCATTCATCAGAAGCTCAGCCTACCCACACTTATGCCTAGTTGACTACTCCACAGCTGTATGTGGGTAATGTGCAATTTGTCTCACTTGAACATCACTTTGGACAAAAGCTTCTTCTAAATGTAAATGTAATGCAGAAGGCCAGACCCACTTTTAGGGTCGGTGGGATGCCTCATTTCCACTGTAACAACACACCAGCAGGTCTTCTCCTGTCCATGGAGACATAGGACATCCCCAGCCCTCAGTGCACCTCTGCTCCTTTGCTGTATTCAGTGTCATTCATGAGAAAAGCCCATACTCAACTCTCACAGCATTAGTGGTGAACCATGTACATGCCATTTAGCAGCCTGAAGACACGGACGGGAGACAGGAAGCCGTCTGTTTGGTCGCCTGGTGTCGACACCAACTTGACATTGACGTTACAGTTCGCAGACTCTGACAGACACAGTGACATTCAACATATTCTGTAGCTGGAGAATTTAACAGAGCTGTTCAGGTTATGCGTCTTGTTCAAGGGTACAACAGCATGTTCCTTAATCCCTGCTTCTCAGCTAATCACATGATGCCATAGGGAAAATCTGGGAAAGCAGCACATCGGTTGGACGACACTGAAGTAGCCTCAGTTTCTATTTTCATCTATGCTCTTGTACCACTGCATGAGATACACTACATCCAATGTGTTTTGAACTCGGACTTGTTCAATTGGACATGGCCGGGATTGCTACAGAAGAGTGTGCGTGTGTCACTGGCTCATTGCAAGCAAGATGGGGAGCTAGAGAGTCTGTCCTGGATTTACTCACGGCTGCCAGGTCACCGATTCCACACCATGTTCCCATCAGTAGCATTGCCAATGGGTTGCTTTTCTTTTTCTTTCACTAATCCTCAGCCAATTCATCATATTCTCTCTAATTAACAGTCAGCTCCCAGTCCGTTATCTTAGTGCCTCACATTGAGGTCTCACGGCGAGGGCGGCCGCACAGGAGCGCACAGCTGTCAGGGGAACACCTCCTGCCAGGTGACATTCTCCGCAGGTCAGAACGATGGAGGTGGCTTTAAATATAGGCTGGTTATAACACCTGATTATCA